GCAACCGCGACTGGATGGCTAGGGTCCGAGTCCCAACCAGTTCAGACTTGCACCCGATTCTGCTCTACAGATGAGGGCAATATCAAGACAACCCTAGTGGGCTGCTAGAAGTGAGATCATAGGAAGGGCTGTGCAGGGCCTGGCACACTGAGCACGCTCATCAATACCCCAACACCACTGTCTCCAAGCTGAGCTGATGTCATCATCAGGCTCTGCTTTCTCTACCCCACCTCCCAAGGATTCTCAGATACAGATGCTGACCCCAGACCTGGGACCTCCTGGACACTGGCTCCCAAGACCACACTGATCCCTCACTCAGGGCTTGGCCTGCAGGGTCTGGACAGGTAGGCCTACTGCCAAGAAGGCTCTTCTCTGGTCCAAACACATGTGAAATACTTCGAGGATGATTTCTAAGTCAAATATTACCTCTCTATGAAGTAACTCCTGAACTCCACCTCCTCTGCACCTTACCAAGTCAACCTGAGACTCAGACTCAAGCCCGGTGCAGAGGAGGGGCTGGCAAAAGACCCCTGGCCTCGAAGCTCAGCATCACCTCACAGCAGGCGGCCAAGAGGAGAAGCGCCCATCCCATCCAACTGCGAGTGGGTGAGGCTGCGCAACCCCAGGCCCTGTCACCTCCCACCTCTCATCTTCCACCTCCGGGCTGCGGTAACGCGCCCCTGCCCACCTCCGCCCCGGACAGGTAACCGGGAGCGGCCCTCGCACAGGCCCAGCGCCCGAATCTTTGAGGGCGCCCTTGGCGCCCAGTTCCGTGCCCGGTCTCTGACACAGTCGCCCGGCGCCCAGGCCTATCCCTCCGCGCCTGGCTCTTCACCCGCCCTCGGTCCGCCGAAGCCTTGCCCCGTCCCAGACCCTCAGCGCTCCTCCGCGGCACTCACCGCGCGGGTGCGGCCCGAATGCCACCAGCACAAAATAATCCGCGAGCCGTGCCATAACGAGAGGCGCGGGGCAGCCCGAGGGGCGCGGGCGGGCACCGCGGCTCGGGAACTCGGGGGAGGCGCGCTCATGGCCCGGCCCCGGCCCTGGGCCGCGCACCCCGGGCACCCCAGGCCCGTTCAGGCGCGGCGCTGGGTAAGGTTCCCGCCGCCATCTTCCCAGCCAGCCGGCCCGCCCGGACGCGTCGTGCGCCTGCGCGCCCTTCCCCGCCCCTGCATGGGCGGAGTTTTGGGGAAAGACGCGTATCATTGGTCTACCCTGAGAGGGGCGGGTACAACGAGCACCTCCCCCGCCCAGCTCCTCAAACCCTAGGCCCCACCCTCTGGCGTGTGACGCAGATGGCAACTCCTGCAGGGCAGTAAGCCTCCCTAGGGCGGCGGTGGGGTATACCGTGTGAGCGGACCTGCACCTGGGCGGGCGTCGCCCTGGGTACTGTGGCATCTGGGCGGAGAGAAGCCTTAGCTCCGCCCTAGAGCTCCCAGCCTGGGGATTGTAGATAAATTGTAGATGAGGTCCCTGGACTCCTATGCTGTCAAGGGGGAAGAGCATGATGGCCCGGGCCCTGCCCACTCGGTTACTAAATTGGAAGACATTGCATCCGGCCAGGATTGTCGCCACGAGGATGCCAGCCTGGCACTGGAGGACAAGAGAATGCCCAGGCCCTGTTCTTAGGGCTTCCAGTCCTGGGAGGGCTCGGGCTGCGTAGGAGTCCCGTCTCTGTGCGGCAGAACATTCAATAGACTAGAAGTGCTGCAAGTCCAAGTGTGAAGAGGGGGTAATCTGAGGTGTGGGGCGCCTTCCAGGAAGGCCCTGTGCCAGGTTTGTTTTCAGATGAGTTTGGCCAGTGCAGGAAGGGTCAGAGGAGCTAACCGTTGGTATCTGGGCTTTCTTTACATGCTGGCAGTGAAACTAAACTGAGGGGAGACCTGAGGAAGACTCTGTCCCTGCCTGCCTCCAGGAACAGCCCCTCCCACTACTGGGTGCTGCAGGGCTGAGAAGTCCTCCTTTCTGCCTGAAATGTCTTGAGTTGACTGCTGTCAGTAACAGTCCTCTCCAAACCACCGTGTGTGCATGGACTAGTGGAGTCCTGGTGCAAATCTGGCAGGTTCTTATAGTGAACATCCTCATCCCCTCTCCTTCAATGCCTGCCACCAGGTTCAATGTCCTCAACCTAAGAATCCCCCATTCCTGGCAATAACCTCTCCCAGCCCACCTTTTCTCTCCCAAGTTTCCTGACCACTCCACACTGCCCAGGTCACCTGCTCCTGACCCAGCCTCTTATGTTTCCTGAGGGGCTATGGTTCTCCCCAAACTTTTCTCCTAACAGGTTCAGAACTCCAGAAAGCCTCTCTCATCAGCCCACAGGCTTCTTGGCTTCAGTGCTTCCCCCAACCCTCATCTAGCCTACCTTCCATGGCCTGCCATCTAACCCTAACCCTCCTGTCTCCTGTTTTCTCCCTGTCCTCATCTGGTAAAACCTAGCCACCTACAATTCTAACTACCCACATTTTCCAGCCCTGCACCTACCACACAGGACAGAGTGATTCACAGTGACACCATAGATAGCCCTAGCATAGATGGAGGATGCCCCTTCCACATGCTCAGCCTGTGGATATGTATCAGCTGTCTTCTGGTCTGTACTTAACTCAATCCTCTGACCTGCTCTTCCATGTCTCAAGGATGGTCAGCCACACCGCCTTCCCAGAGGAAACAGATACATCAGACGGCAGAACTATGTCCCATCACCAAGCCTGCCTGCCTCTCCCCCACCTCCCTACAGTTACCAAGCTGGATGTGGTGGTTCACACCTGTAATCCCAGCACTCAGGAGGTTGAGGCAGGGGGATCACCATATGTTCAAGGCTAGCCTCAGCTACACAATGAGTTCAAGGCCAGCCTGAACTACATAGCAAGACCAGTTCAAAAAATCTGCCCGCTTGCCCATCTCCCACTCTTTGCTATTAGTGTCCTCACCACACTCAATCTCTCTCTCTGTCTCTCTCTGTCTCTCTCCCCCTCTCTGATATTTACCATCAGGATCAAACTTCATTCTCCACTTTAACACACTAAGACCCTCCTGTAATGCAGCTACCACCCTTTTTTATTTTACAGAGGTGATCTTCAAGCACACCTCTGAAAAATATTCCCCAGGATCACCCGTGCCACACACCCCTCTGCACATAGTCTTGGCTTCCTTAGTAATCTCTTGGTTACTTTCCACCTGTTTCTGTGGGTAGCCCAGCACCACTAAAAGCAGCTTCTCCAACTAAGTGTAGTGAACAAGGCACTTGGGACTTCATTTGAAGGTCACACAGACAGCTGTATACAGCAAGTGCAAAAAATGTGCCATGGAGGGGGGTTTGGTGAGCCTCTGATTCAGGTAGGATGGGCAAGGGTAGGAGAAAGAGCCAGGCTAATGCCTGAAGACCAGAGGATAGACTCTGGCCCCTGCCATGGGCTTTTAGAGATGAGTTCCTCGGCTCAGAAAGGCAGTGACTGTTCTCTCATGCCAGGGTCTAAACCAGAGAACATGTAACTTCTGCCCACGGTCTCACTGATGTTCACTTTCCCTGAGGAAGACAGAAATTTTAATTTAAGTTTCTTCATCAGTGTGGTGTTTTGGAAAAGATCCTCCTGGAAGCAGCATGGAGACAGACTGAGCATGAAGAGAGGCTGATACTAAGAGGAGGCAGAGCTGCAGGCTGGACTCGGCCCCGGGATCCTGAGCCTGTTCCTTTGCTGCTGCCCCTTCAGAGCTGGCAGGCTGTGCTGTCCTAGGCCACCCTCTGCATTCTCTCTGGGGAATGCCCACTGTAGCTTCTATTCCCTCTCAGTCCCTGAGGCCTCAAATCCACACTCCACACTCGTGCTGGCCCTGTCTCCAGTCCTGGACCCACAAAGCTGGAGGTCAACCCAACAGACACCACTGCTTGGATGTCCCTTGACAGGCCAGCCACAGCGTGTCCAAACCATACCTTCTTCCTGCTCTCTAGCAGTTCCTCACATCTGCAAACAGGAGGCCTGGGCCTGGAGCAGGGGCCTCCTGTGCACTCCCTGCTCTGCTCACAGCTTCCACTTCTGCCAGACACCTCCTGACAACAAATGAAACAACTCCTGCCCCCAACCGGCAGAAATACACAAGCAAGTGAGAATCAGCTGATGCTTGCCTGCCCTCCAATGTGCCCTGACCACAACACCCATCTACATATTCATGGACAAGTGCTCATGGAGCAAGGTGGTGTGCTCTGCAGGAGGCAACCAGGTCTTAGATGAGCCCAACAGGGGGTGAGGCAGTCAGAAGAGCCTGTGGGGAGCAGTGAGACAATATGGTCCCCTCTCAGAAGTGTCAAGCAGAGGATGGATCACAAAAGACCTTGGGTAGTGTATTGGTGCAAATTTTTGGACTTGTCACACTGTGAGCTTACAGCAGCACGGGGTTCTTGCTCATGAAAAGACTGGAAATCACCTAGTTTCATTTTATAGAGGACCGAGTAAGTCACAGAACACCAGTGTTGAAGTACAGCCAACCATAAGAAAGAATCTGGGTCTCTGTCTGGCTGTTTTTACCCTTGGGTGTGGGTGTTATATTCCCACAGTACACCTGTGTACAGCAACGGTAAGGAACCAAGGTGAAGGTTTCGCTTTCCACTCTCAAACTTCCTACAGAACTCAAGCATTACTTTACTAAGCAGGGCTGTAGAGGCTTGAAGAGGGCCGGAAAGATCATCTTGCAGAACTGAGCGGCTCTCCCGGTGGGGCCGCTCCACCCCCACGCTGAGGTGGCCGAGGGGGGTCGCTCCCAGCACCCAGACAGCTCCACTAGGCTCTGGGACATTTCCTACCAGAAGGCGCCTGGAGCAGTCAGGGAGCTCCCCAGGTTCTGGGCCCGACCCCCCCCTCCCACGGCGCGAGTGGTCTCGCGAAGCTGGGTGGGGAGGTGGGGGGCGCAGGGGGCGGGGCCGGGCTCCACCTCCTGCTACGAGGTCTATTTAGCACCAGGGGTGCCACTTTGGGTCACTTGCGGACCCCAGGCAAGACCGCGAAGGCACGAGACATCAGCCATCTGCCAGCTCCCAGCGTTGCGCCGCGCTCGGGGATGGCAGCTGACCCCTGCGGCGCCGCGAGAGACAAGTACTCGGGGCTCGCGTCCAGACAGCGGGGCTCCCGGGGTGCGGGCTTCCCACCCCCGTAGTCCCTCCATGGCCCGGCCGCTGACGGTCGCTGTCGCCCTCGGTTGCATCAGCCTCCTACACCTGCAGCTCCCAGGCGCGTGCTCCCGCAGCTTGCGCAGAAACTTCGTGCCCCCGTGATCCAGGTGAGGCCACTACACTCGTTCCCCTCCCGACCCCTGGCCCTGGAGGCCTGTGTCACTCCCTGCCCTCCACCTCCCCTGGGGAACCCATTGCTAGGGTTTATCTTCAATCCAGTGCCACCCCTATCCCTGGCTGAGCAGCAGGAGGATGCTAGTCCTTTGTCTCTGCCCTTCAGGGAGAGTGGCCTCCCAACCAGAGGGTCCCCAAGGGGAAGGGGAGGCCAGGACACCCCCAGGTAGGCCAAGGTAGTGACCCACAGTGTCACCGTGTGTAGGGGCCCTCTGCACAGATAAGTGATGTTCTCAAGACATTATGACCTGGGCTCAAAAGGGATGGTGGGCTATCCCTGGCTTCAGCAGGCTGTGTGGGGTCTGGGCTTCCCCTGATCCCGTGCCAGGCTACTGGGAAGCAGCTGGGCTTTCCCCTACCTAATGCTCAGCCTCGATGGAGAGAGGGTGGTAGGTTGGGGAGGCCCTGCAAGGCCCAGCCACTGGGTTTAGATCTTATCTCCCCTTCTACAGGGAGCCCTCAGCCCGGAGCCTCAGTGGTCTGCATCTCCAGCACCCTCACCTACCCCACCTGCCACAGGAGAGGGCCAGTCTAGCCTCCACTGTGGGCTGGATTCTCTAGGATGGTGGCCAACGACACCCAGGCCCCCGGCAACACTTGGGCCTCAGGAGACCCTTCACCCAGCTTCTGCGAGTGGGTTGTGGGCTGGGAACCTGCCTGGTGCAGAAACTCAGCCACCGTCTATGGCAGCTAGCAGGGCCAGCTGGCTGGCAGGACTCAGCTTCTGTGGACCCCAGAAGCCCCCACAGTTATGGCTAATGTGGGCCCTGGACACTTTGTGGGTACTGGACACTCTGTGGGTCCCAGCCCAGCTGGAATGAACTTATCCCAGTTGATGAAGCTCCCATCTGGTTGGTCCTCATAGCTGCAGTCCGCAGCTGGTGCTGCAGCAACTATGCCCACACGGTTTTGGACACGTAAACCCATACACATGTGCAGACCCAGCCAGTCTCCACACAGTGTTTGCATACCAGTGGGCTGGGCACCCCAGAACTCTGCACACACTGAGGACAGGTGCTGAGCAGAGGTTGCTGACAGCATCAGGTACCAAAGAGGACTTCAGAGGCAAGGGGGCTACCCAAGTCAGAGTGCAGAAACCAGGGTCCTGGACACCCAGGGGCCTCTCTGAGCAAGCAGGAGAGGCTGACAGGTTCAGTGTGGTCTGCTGTGGTTCTGGTGGATGCTGTTCTTGGTGTGACTTGCCTTTCTGTCTGACCTTACCCGGGCCCAGGACCTCTCTCTGTGTATTACCTGAGACACGATGACACTGCTCCTCAGGCTTGGATGAGGGACAAGGTTGTGAAGGACTTCTGCCAGCCCCGGAGCTCAGGCTGAAGAAACAGTGGAGACCCCTCTGGGTCCCCTGTGCACAACCAGGGAGGTGGCACAAGGGTTCCAGGGCCATTATGGGCCAACAAAAACATCCCTTTTCCCCTTGAAGCAGGTGTGGTGTGTGTGAGTGTGTGTGTGCCCTGATCCCTTACCAAAACGAAAATAAAAGGACGACTCTGCCACCTCAAGGGGAGTTTGGGACAGACAAAGAAGGGCGGGGCCTCACAGGCAACCGATGCTGGCACCCATGGGACCGTGATTGGGGAGGACAGAGTCTGGGCCAACAAGCCTGGCATGGTGACTGGCCTTGAGTGTCAACAAGGAGGACCACAGGCTGGGAGCGTGTCTGTCGCTTACAGAGTTTTGCATGTGTCAGTTATGTCACTGTCATCCTTAAGTACTGGCCAGCAGAACCCAGGTTCAGAAGGCTTATTTGTCACTTAGCAGGTGCTCACACAGCACTTAATTTCCAAGTGTTTGCCAGTATCACTGTGTCAGTTGCCCTGGCAGAGGCACCTTACTACTTAAGCCATCCAGCTGTGGTTACTGCAGCCCTCAGACCCTCTACCCAGAGTCCTCAGCAGGCTTCCCATTGGGTCCTGGAAGTGCTCCTCTGGGCTCCCATTTCTGTGCTTTCTGTGGCAACTGAAAAGCCACCTGGTCCAGGTGACTTACCTTCCCTGCTCTAGGCCATGGGACTGAGTGGGCCTTAGCATCCCAGGAACCAGATCCAGGTTGATAGTATAAAGTGTCCCCTGTTCCAGCAGCAGCAGAGTGAGACAGAGAAGCAGATTTCTGCACCAAGTTCGGGAGTAGCAGGGCTCCTCAGCCAAGAGCTGTGTCAGGAGTGAGTAAGGCTAAGGCTGGACTTCCTGAAAGGCTGGGTCATATACTCTGTGGCGCTGAAGGCTGCTACAGAGGTAGAAAGGCAGTGGTGACCCAGGAGTGATGGCAGAAAGGAGGCCAGCTGGGCAGGGCTAGGAGCTCAGCCCTGAGACTCAGCTCCCCCATGTCCTGCTGCAGCTCCCTGTACACAGGGCAGAGTCCAGCCTCACACTCTGCCCCTCAGAACACAATATTTCCCTTCTCAAAGAACAACCCCATCCTGAGTCCTCCAGCCCAGACTCCAGGATGGGCTGTCAGTCACCAGAATTCCATCCACAAGTACTCTCAGCCAAGGCCCCTTAGTCTTGGACTTTTCCCTGAAGTGGCCCCCATTGTCCTGTGCCTGTCATGACCCACAGCTTTGCATCTGGAGTGATGCCAGCCCCCTCGTCATGCTCCACCACCCTGGGATGCCTCCACTTGAGTTCAGGAGGCACAGCATTTATCTCCACCCGAAGTCTCCCTGGCTCCACCTTCCTGCTGCCCTTCATACACCACTGGCATATTCTGTTGGCCCCTTCCCAAAGCCCCTCCAGGCACTGTCACCTTCTCATGACTTGTCATCGCCTATTTTTTGCTTTTTTGAGTCAGGATCTCCCTATGTAGTTTAGGCTGGCCTTGAACTCACAACTATCCTCTTGCCCGAGCCTTCCAAGTGCTGAGATGAGAGGTGTGCACCAACACACCTAACGGTGCCACCGGTTCTGTGGGCAATAGCCACAGGATTACCTCACCTCCGCATTCCCACAGGCAGACAGGAAATATGACACAGGTGGATATGTGGAGGATGGAGCAGGCTACAGCTGCCATCTTCAGTGGGGAGAGGTCACCAAGGACTCCCCACCATCTCATCTCACACAGCTGTGTGAGGACTCTGTTGCATACAGGGTCCACTACAAGCTTCTTGCCCAGAGCTCTGACCCTTATGGTCCGCTCGATTGGACTCTCCACTCTGCCCCTTCCCATGAGATGGTCACTCCCCAGGCAGGCATAGTGTGTGCTTGGTTTCTGCTGTGTCCTCAGGAGCTGACCATGCAGCTCTGTTGCCTAAATCCTGGTCAGGAGTCGTTGGTATGTGGAAGCCCTCAACAGGAGCCCAGCACTCTCCTTGCCAAACTTCCTGGGCCTCCTCAGGACTAGGCCTGACCTTGCCCCGTCCTTGCTGGGCCTGCCTGGCCCTATGGAGAATCGTCCCAACCTCCCTATCTGGCCCCTCCCCCCACAGGAATCTACCAGGGTCTCCAGGGCCTCCTATCCTTGGTGCAGAGCAGCTTCTCAGGGACCCTCATTCTGCTCATTGACTGTGATTCCCCAGCCCTCTTGGTAGTTTCCAGTCATCTCCCTGCCCTATTGCAACAGTGTTAAATATGGTTCTCCTTGCATTGTAAAGTGTCAGAATAATTCTCTCTCTGTCTCTGTCTCTGCCTGTCTGTCTGTCTGTCTCTCTCTCTCTCTCTGGGTGGTGGTACTGTCACAGAAATTAGTGAGACAAGAGTTAGGATTCTATTAGGCAGTAGGCACAGTGGCTCCAAATGGAATTGAGAAGCCCCAAATGGAATCTGCTAAGTCATAACCCTCCTGGGACCTTACAAAAACACCTTCCAGGTACCCCATGGGTGTCTGGGACCTCCCAGAATGCAGTCAGGAGGCCCATTGTTTCAAAGGCACAGGAACCCTACTTGAGCACTGTGGGAACACTACTTAGATTGGATGATAAAAACAATAGTCTCCTATAAGGTAGAGATTATATTGTTTACATACTACCTGTTTTGGTTATTTTTCTCTGTTGCTGGGACAAAATACCTGTCATCCAAAATGAAGGAAAGAAAGGTTTATTTAGTTCACTGTTTGTGGAGATTTCCGACCTTGTGGCTCCAAGGCAGGGTGGCATGGTACTGGGGCAACTCTTTTTTTTTTTTTTGTCTTTATCGGTACCAGGGATCGAACTCACGACTGCCTGCTTGCAAGGCAGGCACTTATGCCGCTGAGCTAAATCCCCAACCCCACTGGGGCAGCTCTTCAAGGTGGCAGCTAGCAAAAGCAGCCAAAGCAAAGAAGTGGAGAGAACAAACCTCTTCCCCTTATATCGTAAGCAGGTTGTCCTCACCCAGTGCGAGTGTGGCACTCACACCACTTCTGTGCCCTCCTCTTGCACAGGCTAAGGATATTTACATAGTAAGGATCTTGGCTCGCTGCTGAGTCTCTTAGTTAAACTCTTAACTCAAGTTGACGCAGTATATCAACCGTAACACCACCTGAACTCCTTTCTTTAAAACCCACAAAAACCATCTTCCAACTACTGAGAACTTTACTTTCTTGATTTTATGTCTTTAAAAAAATTTCTTCCTAGCACTCAGTATACTAGCTGAGGCAGGAGGATCACCATGAGTTTGAGGCCAGCATGGGCTACAAAGTGAGTTGAAGACCAGCCTGAACTGCATAGGGAGACCCTGTCTCAAAAAAAAAAAAAAAAAAAAAAATTTTGGACTCTACCGTTTCTGTCTGAAGTTTCATTCTTTGTCACTATGGGATATAACCCCAGCATTCCAGTATCATATTTGGGGCCTAATCTGGGATTCCAAGAGGGGGCAAGGGCTATGTTTTCTTAGACTCTTCGTTTTTATTTTGCAGCTTTCTGCTCAAAGGAGTATTGGGACCCTGTCAACCGGGTAAAAGTGATGAGCACGCTCACCAATCTTGAGGTCTTCGGACATGTTTCACTGCTGTGGGCTGAGCTGAGTCTCACCTTGGTACTCCTCTGCAGTGGGGTCCTTCTGCTGGCCAGGGAGCGATCTCTGTCCTTGGTGCCTTGGACATGTTGCTCCTTTGACTCACCTCAGGCATTAGAGATACCAAGTCACCTTTTTCTATCATGACTCCCTTTCTTGATGAGCCAGGCCAGGAGTAAGACAGACCCCGTATCTTATCTCATTTAATTGTCTGGTTGCACTCTTGCAGACACAGGCTGGACAGTTCAAAGCCATTAGTGCATGTGCTGTTTCTAAGACTCTTATAAAAGAATAACTTTGTCATAGGACAGAGCACTGTAGGCTCTACTGGGCTCAAGGCAGCTTCTGTGCAACTGCCAGCTTCATGTTTTATGTTTGCATAATGAAAGATGAAATGTCAGGCTGGGCATGGTGGCACACAGCCATAATCCCAGCACTTGGAAGGCTGAGGAAGGAAGATTGCTGGGAGTTTCAGGCCAGCCTGGGGTACAAACCCTGTCCAAAAAACAAAACATAAAGTACCTTTGTTCCATAACCTGGTACCCTAAATGTTTTGTCCTGGTTGCTTCTGAGTTCTGGGGGTCTTGCCTGTAGTCCTTTGATTCCCTTCAGAGTCATACTTTTTCTGTCTCCTTCTACCATCTCATCAGCTAAATTACTCTCCAGCCTAATGAATGTAAGACAAATTGGTGCTTTTAGATAAGGGTATGTCTGTCATTTCTGAGGTTAGTGAAAAAACAACCCAAACCTCTACTCTTTAGTGGTGTGTAGTCTGCACTGGGTCCTATTAAATAACAAAGTTGGATTTAACTCCTCTCTAGGGATCTAAGGAAGGGAACAAGCCTTTCTGGGAGCCTCTGAGAAGTTAACAGGAGTTCACTGGGTAAAGCTTGGCTTGATAAATTTACTTTTGGATTCTAATTAGAGTTGAAATTTTTGTTTAATTGATATGCTTAAAATACTTCTTGTGGGTTGGGAAGTTGTTAAACTATAATTACTGGGTTAACTTTTCCAATGCATTCTGCTTGGACTAAGGTAAGGATGCTACTTAAGACCATTTATTGTTTTCTTTCTTTCTTTTTTTTTTTGGTCTTTTTCCTTTTTATCGGTACTGGGGATCGAACTCATGACCGCCTGCTTGCAAGGCAGGTGCTTATGCCACAGAGCTAAATCCCCAGCCCCTACTTAAGACCATTTAGAGGTCCTTTGCTTAACCAACCTTAATTGGAATATAAACATCTATAAATGCACTCTGGGCTAAAGAAAAAGTGTGATAGGGGCATTTTAAAATCGAAGCAGTTACTAAGAGTGTTACAGAAAGTAACCAATAAGTAGGACAGGAAGGAAACATAAAGACATTATAAATATAAAGCTATATTTTGGGATGAGAGGATTTTTTTTTTTTTTTTTTTTTTTTGGTGCCAGAGATCCAACTCATGACCTTGCACTTGCCAGGCAGGCTGTTATGCCACTGAGCTAAATCCCCAGCTAGGATGAAAGGATTTTGTATGATAAATTTTTTCCCTACAAAGATCAAAAATAAAGATAGGGACAAAATTAGAAAATCTAAGTCCATTGAGAAAGGTTTCCAGGGGCTGGGGATTTAGCTCAGTGGCTTAAGTGCCTGCCTGGCAAGCGCAAGGTCATAAGTTTGATCCCTAGTACCAAAAAGAAAAAAAAAAAGAGAAAGGTTTGCAAAAGATGATGTTTATAAAATATAAACATATGTTTTGTTATTTTAAATTTTTGCTCTTGTTGGTTTGGCTGAGCCTAGGCTGTTCCTTCTAAGCCTCCTTGTTGCTCAATGGTGGGTAAAGGGCATAGAACCAATTCGCAAATCATCAGTCTTATGCTTGGTCCCACCTCCCCTCCCTGGTCTGTCAATAACGGTCTTTCTTCATTGTCTCCCATGCAGGTGTACAAAGGTGATGGACACCACAGCTGAGTAAAATGTTCTGTCTTTTTAGAGATGACATAGGCCCACATGTGGGTGACATCCTGATAGACAGGTGACCATCTAGGTCTAGTCCAGATCTCTGTAGGAGACAACCTGGGCAGCTGCTCTTGAATGCCAAACAATTGCTTTAGCATTAATTAAACCAGACTCTGCCTCCATGTACTGATATGTACAGAGCAGGCTGTGCTATTTCCTTCTTCCTTCAATTGGCTCTAAGCAATGCACATAAGGCCAGCTAAGATACTGGTGTATAATCCTGGAAGCCAGCCGCAGTGTCCTGTTTCCTGGCACCCACACCATGTTCCCTCTAAACGGTTGAGCACAGTGAGATGGCAGAGCCACATAGCTCCGGGACTGTCAACTCGGTTTGAGCCACAAGATAGGAGGCTATGACTTCCCAGGGTGCAAAAGTTTACACATCACAAACTGAAGCAACAGCCTCCAGATGCTGCCTCAGCTGAGTCATGCAGACCGGCCTTTCTGCACGCCCTTCTCCCTGCATACTGCCGAGGTGCTTGTTCACCACCCGGCCAGCTTAACTCACCTTGCTCACATAATTCCCGCCAATCTCACAGTCGCTCATCCTCGAGCCTCTCCCTTCTTCACAAGATAATAAATTCTGGGTGAGGCCTTGGATCAGGGCCTTTGTTCTGTGCACCCTCACCTGGACCAGACTCACCCTTGGCTGCCAGTAACTACAAATTTGTCTCAGTGTCTTTATCCACGCTATGGGTTGCAGTGGAGTGAAATTAACTTGCTAGGATTCCAATAATGTTTCAAAGGGATAACAAATATAAAATTTCTCAAGCTGTAAAGAGGATGAGAAAAGAGATTATGATATTTGGGTTACAATAGTCTCCGCTTGGAGTTTGGGTTTAATGACAAACATAACCTTTAAAAGGACATTCAAACTACCTTGCTTGGCTTTGTGGCTGCCAGGACCCTGCCCTATTTTAGCTTTTATTGCCTTTCAACACTTATCAAGGGGTCTAAGTTTTGATCCTCAGTTCACTTACAGAAGTATTTCAGTTCTTTTGGGTAGAGAAAGTCTAATTTCTGGTGACAACCAAAGGGCTTCAGGGACACAAGAGAAGACAAAGGGCACACTGGTCAGAGCAAGTAATCTGGTAGCCTCACCCTCACCCCTCTCTCAGCTCTAGTTTGTAGTGGTTAAAAACTGAGCCTTCAGAGGTAGTGGCAAAGGATTCCCTGGCTGGAAAGTGCTTCAATAGGAAAAACAAGAGACAACTTCTCTCTCTTGGGTGTTTTTTAAAACACTAACAACAACAACAACAAGAAGCTTATTTTCAGCTCCCGTTACCTTTTAAAAATACATCCTCAAAAATTTGGGATTCTTTTGATACCCCCCACCCTAAAAAATGCCAGCTGATTTTCTTTACATCTCATCTGGGTGTTCTACCTTCTGGGGGAAAGAGGACCTTGGCCTCAATTTCCCAATTAAAAAAAATACTGGGAGGGCATGGCATTCAACAGGAAGCTGGAATGATCAGATTGCAAGACAGGCCACATCTCTGTTTCTTTTTTTAATAGTTCTCTTCTTTTGTCTTTTTGAGCAGGGTCCCACTGTGCAGTTCATGCTGGGGCTCACTTTGGGCTCACTTTGTAGCCCAGGCCGGTCTCAAACTCACAACAATTTTTCTGCTTCAGCCTCCCGAGTGCTGGAATTACAGGAGCGCACCACCAAACCAGGTTCCACATCTCTATTTCTTTTCTTTTTCTTTCTTTCTTTTTTTTTTTTTTTTTTTTTTTTTTTTTTTTTTGTCTTTTCCCTTTTTATCGGTACCGGGGATCGAACTCACAACTGCCTGTTTTACAAGGCAGGTGCTTATGCCGCTGAGCTAAATCCCCAGCCCCTCACATCTCCATTTCTTACACCTTCTTATTCCTTCTGCAACCTGAATGGCACAAGACCTACTCTGGAACTCCTTGGACTTTCCTCTGTGATATCGTCTTCCAATACATGTGGAACTACGATAAAGAGACATGCATGAGACTACGCCCCCCAAAAACCCAGAGTGGTGGTTTTACAGATAACTTCTCTCACCCCTCCTTTGGACAAAAAACAAGCATCGTAACTATTCAGGAACATCGATGATGTTAAAACTAAATAACATTAACAAGCTTTTTTTGTTTTCTTGGTACTAGGGATCAAACTTACAACCTCATGGTTGTCAGGCAGGCACTTATGCCACTAAGCTAAACCCCCAGCCTCGATGCTAATAATCATTCCTGGGGTTATCTCTCCCAATGTTTGGGCCTTTTACTTAATGAGACAAGACATTACTGCGAAGCTAAACCAAGGTACAATGAAAACCACTGAGGCAGGCAAAGTTGAAGCAACATGCAAGGATTTTATTGCCGATTGGGTATGGTCAGACCAAGGGCAAAAAGACCAGTGGCCCTGAGGAAGAGCTGAGGGCATATTTTTATAGGGGGTTTTGGTAGGGGAGGGAGATATTGCTGAAGGGGGTGCAAAATTTTGGGTCTCTGAGTAGGGGTCCAAAGCTAGGTGATAGACTGTTGGGTATAGGGGAGGTTCGCAGGCACAGCGCGACTCTTGTGATTTTTCATGGAACCAGCTCTTTGCAGGTCGAGCTGTGTGGGGACAGCTGCCGGCTTCCTGTTGACCACCATGCCCCGCTAGTGGGAATAACAGATCTGTTTGGGGAGTTTTTTCTCTCCTAATTGGGCCGGGGTCCAGTTCAGAGACCTGACATTCCTGTCTGTTGTGTTATAAAGGGGTGGGGAGTTGGGGTGTAGTTTCTTAAGACTTCTTCAAGCATGACTGAGGGCTGTGTAGGCAACCTAAAAAAGTAGATGGGGGGCTGGCAGCTGTGGTGGGCAGGGACTCTGCATGGATCAGTGTGGGGTTCTTGCGGGACAGCAGTATAGAGAGTCCTCAGGGGAAGTCATCTGGCTGTCACAGATTGGTCTTGTCCTTGGATGAAATCTATTACAAATCTCATTAGGCAAAGCCCAAAAAACAACAGTAAGAAGATTGAGACCAGGGGCCTGAGAACATGAAGCAGCCAAGACATTCACCCTTTTTGGAAGATGTGTCCTCTCCATCCCAAGGGAAGGTGTGTAGCCAGACTAGGAGATATCTAATTTTTAAACATTTGGCCTGTGTGTGAAGTCCATTTGCCACTTTTGGACCAGAGAGAATTCTCAGACTTGGTGAGTGGGGTAAGGAGGGGGATGGAGGAAGCCATGGAGAGAGGCTAAGTGGCAGACTGAACAGTGATCTGCCGGAGAGTTGTCCTCTAGGAGGTGACTGAGATGAAGGGTTTGTAGTCTCTATAAAATGCTGTCGTGGAGGGAAGAAAGAATCTGGCAAGTTTGGGAGGCAGGCAAGAGATATTTTCCTTGGTCAAGGAATCATTCCTCAGAAGTGGGCAGTGGCTGATATTGTAACTTTTTCTGTGGAATAATTGGGGGTGATGCCTATTAGGGAGAGATCACCCTGAGGAGTGAGTAGAGTCTTGACAGAGGCAGCAGCCCTCTTTGCTGCCTGGTCTGCAAAGGAGTTTCTTTATGTTATGGGATCTGTGGTGTTTTGATGTCCCTTGCAGTGACCCTTCCTGAGTGGCAGGAGTGCCACCCCTAGGAGCCTCTTTATCAAGTTGGAATTAATGACAGAGGATCCCCAAGTGGTGAGAAATTCCTTCTGCCCAGACTGCTATGGTTGTGGAAAGCACACTTTAAGTCTCTATAAATGTTGATTGCTGTTCCCTTTGCCGGAGAGCTCGAGTCAGGGCTGTGAGCTCAGCCTGTTATGAGGTGGGATTTGTGGGGAGAGGTAGAGTTTTGATTGTTGTAACTATTATGTATCCCATTTTTGTTGTTGAAGTGGCAGAGACCTTGCAGGAGCTGTGGCTTAGGTATAGAAAGATCTGAAATGTGGGGTAAAAGCTTGGTGTATAATTGCAGGAGGAGGGTAGTCACGTTCCCAAGAGGGGCTTGAGTTGTTCTCTGTTGTTTGCAGTAAAATTAGGGTGTCTGCTGAGTTGAAGACAGGGCCTGGTGCTAAGGTAACTGTGATGGTCTCAAGGAGGAGGGCATGGGGTTGGTTATATGAGACGTGGGGTTGAGAATAGGTGGAGGAGACGAGAGGAGACGAAGAGAGCTTGGAAGTCATGAGGGGAGTATAAAGTTATCAGGGCTTGGAGGGTGATATTTAGGGCTTTCCAGAGCATGAATACAGGGGCCAGGAGGGCCATCCACTGGTGGTGGGGTTCAGCTCTCAGGAGAGAACGGCGACAGGATGGGGTGTTAGACCCTGACTCAGAACTGCTGTGGCACAATCCTTGTGTTCTGTTACATGTGGGGAGAGGGGGAGAATGGGTTTTGGAAAGGATAGAGCAGTGGTTAAGAGTAAAGCCTGGGGCTGGTGGTTTAGCTCAACGGCATAAGCACCTGCCTTGCAAGCAGGCAGTCGTGAGTTCGATCCCTGGTACCGATAAAAATGAAAAAGACAAAAAAAAAAAAAAAAAAAAAAGAGTAAAGCCTGTTTTAATTTCTGAAAGACACATTGGGAAAAGTTTTCTGGTCTAGGTGTCCTGAGGGTCTGTCCTGGGTGGGTTCATAGAGGAGTCTGACAAGTGTAGAGAAAATGAGGATCCAGAAGTGGATGCAGCCTGTAATTTCCAGGAAGGAAAGGAGCTCTTGGATTGTAGTGGGCATCTGGGTGTGGGTGATACCATGAATGTGTTTGGGAGATAAGAGTTTTGTGGGGTTTTTATAGGGTGCCTAGATAAAGGACTGAGGTCTTACAGAGTTGGCTTTCGGAGGGGAAGACTTGATATCCCTTGCTGTGTAAGTATTGGAGGAGGTTGGTGTGTCCTGGTGGCAAGACGCAGCAGAGGGATTGCAGAAAAGTAGGTCTTTGACAGACGTATTGGAAGGTGGGAAGCAGTGGGGTGGGAAGAGGGGAGGTCCTCAGTGAGGGCCTCCCTGATGTAGTAGGGCTGTCATGGAAGCCTCAGGGTAAGATTGGCCAAGTGGAGTTGCTGGAATTGGTGGATGTCTGGGCCAGTCCACATAAAGGCAAAGTGTGGCTGTGATTTGGGGGAAAAGGGAATAGTGAAGACAGCATCTTTGAAGTCAAGGTGTAGTGGATGGTGGAGGAGGGTAGAGGGGATAGGAGGGTATGGGGATTGGGGATTTTAGGATAGATCAGGAGTTCAATTTGTTTGATAGCTCAGAGGTCTTGGATCAGATGGTATGATTGGTCTGGCTTCTTGAAAGCCAGGACATGTGTATTGAAGGGGGAGTTGACAGGTGTGAAAAGGTTGTGGCTGTGGAGACAGGTCACTGATGATAGATGTGCGTACTCTTAGAGCCAAGCTGGGCAGTGAGTATTGGCACTGGTACAGGTGCCAATGGTACAGGTGAGGTACAGGTGACTGTCTTTTAGGGGAGCAGGAGGGGAATTTGGTGTGTGGCTATAGAAGAGCTAGAGCTACCCCAGGAGTGTGGGATTAAGGAAGGGAGAAGTGATGGGGGGCTCACAGCTAGGGGAGTGGGGGACAGCAGAGGAGCCATGAGGCATGAGGTGGGGCCAGATTAGAGTAGCAGACAATTTTACTAGATTGTGTCTTCCAAGGAGTGGGACAGGGCAGGTTGTAATGATTATGAAAGCATGAGGAAAATATGTGGTTTTGTAATTGGCAGAGGAGAGGGTGTCTTTGGGGGCCTAGATATGATGTCATTCCCCACGATAGAGATATCAGCTAAAAGCAGCTGTCCTGAGATAGAGGGGAGGGTGGAACTGGCTGCCCATGTGTTAATTAAGAATGAAACAGTCTTATCTGCCACCATAAGAGTTACCCATTCAGTGACTGTGATGGTCCAGGGGGCATTTGAGATCTTCAGGGTGTGTCAGTCATCCGAGGTCAAGCCGATGAGACTGGAGAGGGCAGGGTGTCCAGTGGGGCACCCTCGGAAGGGACTCCTGCTCCAAGCCTGGCTGCCAAGGGACAGTCTGACTTCTAGTGAGACTCCCACATGAGAGATATGACTTAGGATGGGGTGTGGGGTTAGGGCACTTTTTGGCCCAGTGGCCTGATTATTGACACTTGAAGCAGAGTCCTGGGGGAAGAGTTCCCCTTTTTGCCCCTTTGGACTTAGCATTATTATTGGATTTAGGCTTTGGGTTTCGTGTGGTGGATGCAAATAACTGCAGGTCAGAGATGTACTGCTAGTGGACAGTCTTGTCTTAGTTATTTTAGACTTTTTTTTTTTTTTATCAGTAACGGGGATTGAACTCACGACCACCTGCTTACAAGGCAGGCACTTATACCACTGAGCTAAATCCCCAGCCCTAGTTATTTTAGACCTTAAAGACCTGGAGACTGGATTGGGGATTTAGCTCAGTGGCTTAAGCACCTACCTGGCAAGTGTGAGGTCGTGAATTCAATCCCCGGTACCAAAAAAAAGAAGACCTGGGAGATTAATTCCTGTTGTGGGATCTGAGGCCCAGTCTCAGTTTTTTGGAGCTTTCCTTGATGTCAGGGGCTGACTGGGTGATGAAATGCATTTTAAGAATTAGTTGCCCCTCTGGACTTTTTGGATTGAAAATAGTATACTTTGTCAGGGTGGTTGTCAGGTGAGATATAAACTGAGCCAATTTTTTATCTTTAGTCTGAGTAGTTTTCTTGAGTTTATCATAATCAACTGATCTGTGAGCTGCCTTTTGTAGTCCCTCAACAAGGCAAGTAATCATGTAATCATGTGCCCTTTTAGATGGACAGAGAGCTTGTTTGTCTGTGACACTGAAGTCCCCCTGAGGTCTGGCTCGAGGGACAGCCATTCTACCATCCAGCAAGAGGGGCTCTGTGTGGCAACAATCCTCAGCATAAGCCTGAGCCATCATATAGATTTGCTCTTGTTCCTTGAAAGAGAGAGTAGAAGTTAGGACAACAGTGCTGTCATCTCAAGTGAGATCGTAAGTCTGGACTAGGTATTGGAACTCTTGGGTATAGGTGCAAGTATCTGATAGGAAGGAACCAAGGCAGCAATTGATTTGAGCAAGGTCTTTGAGACAGAAAGGAACATGGACCTGAGCAATACCTTTGGCTCTAGCAACTTCAGGAAGGGGAAATTTGGGGGGGGGGTAGTGAGGTCAAAGGGTAGGCTAGATTGAGTATGAGAGGGAGAAGGACAGTTGAGACTGAGGTTGTTGGTGAGGAGAAATGGAAGGGGTAGGGGTGGTAAAGAATTTCAGGATGGTGCGGATACTGCAGGAGGAGCTGTTGGATAGAGGTGGGCAAGGTGGTGGGGCTATAGAAGAGGGGTCAGTAGTGCGGGCTGAATCATAATCTGGGGAAGCCAAAGAAGGGTGGGAGGACGTGTGGAGAGAAGTAGAAAAGTTTTGTTTTGTTTTGTTTTTATCTTTTTCTTTTTTATCGGTACCAGGGATGGAACTCACATACTTGCAAGGCAGGTGCTTATGCCGCTGAGCTAAATCCCCAGCCCTCAGAAGTAGAAATTTGATGGGGTCACTGGAGGCGCACAGTGAAGGGAACTGGAGAACAAACAGTGCCTGGACCTATGGGGGATTAAGAAGTCAAAGGTCCTGTTAATTGACCATAGGAATTAATTATCCAGTTTATAGGCTGGTTAGGCTGTGCTATAGAAGACAGTGAGGCATTTTGGCTTCAAGTCGGGAGTGAGACAGAGAGGCTTGAGAGCTCAAGCCAGTGGTGACTAGACACTACAGTTGAACGAGTACAACTCAAGAGAAAATGGGGATATCTCCCGTCAGTCCCTCGAGGCTAGAAACAGAGTGGGTGACGGGGCAACCAGACCAGACGTCTCTGAGCTTGGGCGGCTGTCAGGGAGCCTGGCTCCCGACCAGGGGTGAGCGTGACCAGGCCTGGGTTTTTTGCATCACAACTTTGACTGGCTCTTGAGGTTCATCAAGGGTGGATGGTGCAGTAAGGGGCGAAAGGAGGGAGGAGATGAAATAAAGATCACTTACCCAACCTGAAGGGAGGCTCGAGATTAGGAGCCAGTCCAGGCGAGGGAGTGGTCGGAGGTCTGATGTTGATGGGGTTCACAGTGCACCCAGGTGGAGTCC